TCTTTTTATCCCGGGGACATTCCTCAATAAAGTTGATAAGGTCATCAAGTTTGAGAACCTGCATCATCAAGTATATTTTCAAATCGATTGAAGGCGAATAAACAGTGGATTTAAGTCTGGATTTATCGATATCATAAGTCACCACATAGTATTTCTGAATCCAAAGCTAACAAGTTTATTTACAGGTCGCCTGTCATTTTTTGCGAAGCATAGTGCCTGAGGTTTCTTTTAGACAGATTATTCTGCTGCATACATTGTAGCGGATATGTTTATGCTTGTGAACTTTGAAAACGGTGTGAAATGTCAATATCTTACATACTAACTTTCCTGAAAATTATCAATTCTACAATATCATATTGTTAACCGCAGTTAGATTTCAGAGCTTGAGAACGCTGCTCAGCCTTGCTTGCAAAGGGAGAACGGAAATGAATCTTCAGCTCAATGACAGAACACTCTGTGAATTCAGGTCACTCAACTCCTTCCGAGAACTTTTCCAAATTCCTCTACAAAATTCGATCAAGGTACGCAAAAAGAGAAAAACAAGAGCATTTAGAAATACCTAGAGCACTAGTCATTTCGAAGTTCAAACGGACTCTGTATGTCCAAAATGGTGTGTTCAGCCTCCGATTTTGCCATGGCCATCATAAAACCTTGAATGCTCTAGGTGAATTCTGAGTTAAGCAATTACATTCGCTTCCGTAATCTCTTGTTTAATTTCCTACTGTGATCCTTCATTTGAATTACGTAAACTTCGTTCGACATTCAGTATATGTTAACTCCCGGTCGGAGATAATTCGGGAATGTTCTACTTTTTATAATATATATATTCACTAATGCAGAATTTAGTAAATGACTTTGTCGAAAAGAAAAAAATGTCTTTCCACTGTAACCCTCTTTTTGTCTTCTATATTCGGCTTACTTTAATTCCTGATGTTTTTTTCGTGATTCTTAAAATATCCTTTATATTGGTCTACCATTGATTCAGTAAATTAACACACCATCGGTATTATTTCCCAATGTACAATATTTTTCTTAACTTGAAATATGGTTATTGTTTCTTAGCATTATTACATCGCATTGTTTTCTAAGTGTTCATTGAAATATATTTAGTCCACCGCTAATTTTTTTGGTGTCATTTTCTTTCCCCTCCCCACACTGTCTGTATCATTTGTTGTCAAATCAAAATAAACGATTAATCAGCCCAAGTGACTGGTTGCACTAAATGGAAAAGTGCAATAAAACATAGCAAACTGGGTAAGAGTTACTTTATTTTCATGATGAGTGACGACACCGTGCTAAGTATACATGTCTCAAATAAGTAGGTATCTTCTTCTGTGTCATTAAACGTATGTATAAAAAGACGTGTTCATTTATAAGCTGGGACTTAATGGCCTTTAGAGTTGCAACGATTATTAGCTGTTCGTGAATAAGCACGTATTTTTGTTGCTGCTGTTATGCTGACGGAAAACTGTTGTTCGTAGTGGTGTAGCATTTATTTAACTTAAAGTATGGAGTCAGATGAAATTATATACATGAGGACCATATTTACATTAAATGTACTAGAACAAGTTGAGTGCCGAGTATCTTTGCATTATTACCAAAGTATGACGCAATTTAATCTAGCATAAGTGGAATATTTTGTTGAAGAAGCTGTGGCTTGTACAGCGAAAAATTCAGAGAAATTTTGTTTCTGTTTTCTAAGCGCACTGGCTTGACAGTACAACATACTTTTATAATGATAAAGAGTTGAATGTCGAGAATATGAGAATTTTTAAATTTTGCTTCATTTAGTGGGTTAGGTAGGGATGAATTCCTTTTACACCCAGCAAAGAAACGGAGGAATTGTCAAATAATGAAGCATAATGCTTACGTAGCAACTGCATTTCTGAAAAGATATCAGCATCGTTTACTCGCAAATACACCATGATGACTAAATAGCCAATCAAATGAGGTCCGGTTTTTTAAGACCTAAGTAAACATCACTCCTTGCTGCTAGCAATAAACATTTTGGTTACTAAGTTGATTAAATTGTTTACAATATTCTCCTGAGTAGGTTCATTGTTGATACATAAAAGTTAACTTGTGCCTATCCGAATAGTTAAATGTATGAAGAGACGAATGTTAACAAGATATTGGTTGAAAGAAATAACCTCAGTGAGTTATCTTCAGCCATAGAAAATTTAAAGTAACAAATTCCAGTACACTTTTATTATCAATCAAAACTATTCTTGACAGTCATCTGAAGTTTACATACTGGATGAAACTAAAATGTTTGCAGTAGTCTATTCCAGCCTCATACAAAATTTTGGAATAGTCGTAATTGCAACTGAATAAAGTGACCATAATGTTAGTGTCTTTGTCTTGCAATGAGTTTCTAGTTGATCGATGAAACTGTCTTTATGATTTTCGTTGGAATCAACAGTTCTTATAAGCGCCTTGTTACTTGTAATAGCATTATTTGTGAATTCTTACAATTCACTTTGAATTACATAGATCAGTGATCTCAATATGTTACTATGATTAGAAGTCAGTTGACAATGTTGATCTGAAATATTTACCTCACCCTATGTACTTGGGGTCAGTTACAAAGACATCACAAAGGTTAACAGTAATACATTTGAGTTCCTAACATCCACATCTTATCAGTCAAATGGTTCGGAAACCAACATTTTCACTTTCAAAAAACCAAGCACTCATGGTGTGACCTGTGCTCGGATTTGCTGTTGATCTACTCCATTTTGGCAGTTTCATTTCGTCGACTAGGAAAGTTCTCCATGTATTTACCTAATGCAAGGAATGTAAGGAGGGAAACCAGCACACTTCATAAAACTGTTAACCATGATTAGAAGGACCGTCGAAAATCCTTGTATTTTCGTTTATGCACAAAATACTAAATACTTACACAGTACTCTTAAGCCTACTTACTGCAGTTATTTAGAAACATCAAGAATTCATAAACACATGTTCTTAGAAGCATAGAAAAGTAAATAAATGCTGCCTCTTAATCATAGCTGAAATAAAATAGTTTCTCCCACTGTCGTGCTTCACCTTTAACACAAAATCCACTCAACATAAAAAGTTTCAAAGAGCACAGTACATGGTCATGCTTTCGTGGCAAACACGGTGATACATTTTAAATTTTGTCCATATGAACGTGGTTACTTAATTAGCGCCGGTTTTGAAAACCATCTTAATGTTGGTCAGAATCGCGAAAGCTGAGTAATCAATTTCTCACAAGCAGTATCCTTAAAATTACAGCTAGTAGTATATTCTTACAAGCATTTAGATGTATAGATGAAAAGATTGTACACTATGGAATAGAATAATGTGTTATCAGTACACCTTTTCTGAAAAGTTTACAAACAGTAGTAAGCTTTTGTTTTGGTAATTTATCCATTAGAATATTATAATATTATTCCAACTGTTGCTTCACTCACGGGTAGTAATTTTGTTCGAGTTATTATCAAAACAAGAACTTATCATGGTGTGTACACTTTTCATGAATACACTTAAGATTTAAATTCTTCTGGAAACCTCATTTACAGTTAAAAAATTACTGGTGACTTTAAAGGCCATCGGTGAAATAACCAATCAGACCTCGATATTATGGCTGGGAAAGTGTTTTTTTATAAAATGAAATGCAGTTGGCTATCTCATTAGTTGTTACGGTGGCCTTTAAAGTCGCCCATAAATTACACTTAGTCCACTTTGGAACACGCTATCTGAAGTTCATAACAATCTCTACAAATTCTAAATTAATCTAATGGCGGTTACTTTCTGAAAAGTGATTTCATCTGATAAATGATCACGATTTTCTAAGCCAATCTAAGGACAAATAGCTTATCTGAACTTAACCAACCAAATTCCAACAAATAATTGTTCTAGTTCAATGGGAATTTCCCACTGGCTGCATAAATACATCGTCTTTTAAGCAGAGGTGCCAGCCAAAACGACTCCTTTCCAATTCTTTTCTTCACCCCAAATTAATTAACCAAGCCTATCAATACTGAACACTCAGTCTCTGCAGCTTCATGTTTTGAAGGTTATCCACAGAGTGAAAATTGACTCTTTAGTGGCATTAGGTATTCGCCGGCTTTGTTTTTCTTAAACTTTGGCTATTCACTCAAAGAATTAAGAGCTTTGCAAGGAGAATAAGCATTTCCAACCTCTCCACTCTTCAAGGTCTTAACCCTAAACGTTTCAAACCACCACGTTCATTTCCTCCTTACATTCAACCCATATTCATTACCATAGGTCTCTTGATAACAACTCACTATGTTGGTATTGTATCGTGTTATGCATCTCTTTGTTAAAACTTGTTCACCTTCAGTCATTATCTGTTAAACTTTGGTTGACATTCACTAACCTTACTAGCTTTTAGCATCCATGATTTTCGGCACATCATACTAGATTTTTATTGCATCCCCTAGACTGTATACAGTTTTGATTGTGCAGTCTCGAGAATGAATTCACTAGAGACAGCGTCTTCATGGAAATGCTCGTGAAGTGATTAGGCCGTTCGTTACAAATTGCTTAATACAGTGCTGAAATGATGTGATAGACAGCTGAATTAGTAAGAATATCAGTGGGTGGACCTGGATTTATTGAGTAATCGATCAATTTTTACCACAATTTCGTAACAACAACCGTTTTTGAGCGCAGTGATACACTGAAGTAAGTCTAACCTGAAGACAACTCAGAGTAATCTGACCTCCATGGATTCCTGTCTTATGCAGAAAACTTAAACACATGATCGGAAACAGCTGCCAGTCACCATAATTTACTCACAATTATACTTCACAAAATGCTTAAAGTGAAGTCGATTCGGAGAAAATTCATGTGAAAGATAGGAAGCTTAACCACTTGGATTCAAAATCATTCTTAGGCATTTCTCGGAATGCCACCCCTTGAATTCGGCCACCTAGTCCATGATTACATTCTTGCATAAAGACAAATACGATCAGACAGTCAAATTATATTGTAGAGGGTGATTAGATAAATTACAAAACTGGGTAACTGGCATTTGTTGCAACACCGCACATATTCCTCTTGTTTCTTCTCAGTTTGAAATAACCTTCCGATCCCCATGAACTACCCCAACTGTTCTTGATAAGCCAGTAATCCTTACCATTTTCGGTGCCGTAGCCAACTAGTAATACACCATGGTTAGGCTCCGTTGCTGAGCATTCCAATGACTCGTAAATCCCACTCCTGAAACACATTAAAACAGGTCAACGAAAAAAAAACTCAAAGTGATTTGAATATAATATAACACTAGCGAGTTTGGCGATATCAATGAATACAAATGAGAATGGTCAAAATAAATAAAGAAGAAACAATGCACAGTGGTAATCCTTCGATGTAGCACACAGTTTTACAGTAGTAATATGTCAAACTTTACAAACTGCAACCAGTGAAATCCATGTGTTCTGCATTATGTTTCAGCTGGGACCACTCATCAGTAGAATTATTTCGGCACTTACAAGAAATGAGATCCCTATGATAACCGGTTTTGTTTTGATTTTCAACTTTCACTAGACCTTTTTTTTTACACAGCACGAATAAATTTGAAACGTAAGAGTAGAACATGGAAATTTAAGTAGAATGTGACTGTGTATCACATTTGCTGATTTGATGTAGGATGTAGTATTGATAAATGTGGTGCAGTTCGGTAGTATATGAATTTCAAGATACTTTATTTAAGAGGTCGTAAAAATTTGTCAATTTTATCAATAACTGGCATCACTTACTCGTACATGAATAGGTCGTCCAATGCATCGATGGCAACTGAAATTGGCCCATGTTGTCGAAGGGCTTGTTGCAATTTCTTCTCATCTCCAGACGGTAGGTCAACGAATTTCTTCACCTTAACAACTATCTTTGATTCGCGATAATGACACTTGGTATCCTGAAAACATTTAATTGAATGCAGAAAGTGTAGGTGAAAACGTTCAGATGATAACACATGTATAACGAAAGAGAGAAAATCTGACTTACTTTTGCTTTATATCTGTAGTCGTTTTCTGTTTCAATACCATATTTCTCTACATATGTGAATGCTTGGTCCATCAAGCCACCATCACAGCCCTGATTTCCATAATCATAGCTACAGTCAACGAGTTGTTGCTCCGAGAGGCTTGTCAGCTTCTTGTGCTTCTTCTTCAGCTGACCCTCGATCGCTCCACAGGCTGAGAACGCCCAGCAGGATCCACAACTTCCCTAAGATATCTGGTCATTTAATGTTTCACACATACTTGATTTTTCACTGGAGTGACCACACCATGATCCCGCCAGTCCCATTTTGCCGGCAATGGCTTGTCGGACAGTTCTAATTCCTCTTTATCATTCCATGACGGATTGTTGCCAAAGGTCTTTGGAAACATGACTGCCTCTATTTCTTCCCATTCCATGTCACTAAATCCATTTAGACCCATTGTATATCCTTCCAAACCCAGATCGTGCCTCAAGTTGTGCTCCCGAATTCTGGCAACGCGTTTCAGGAAAACAGCTCGTCTTTTCACCTCATCATCTGAAGTATATGCTTTGTTATATTTCGATTTCCATTGTTTCCAGATTTCTTCCAACTCAATATCTATCTGCTGTCCAACAGCCAAAGCAGCCACAATACTGAACAACAACAGTGCTTTCATCCTCCTCATCTGGCTATTGAACGACGACTAATAGATACTTTAAATGATCTAAAAGACCTTTGTTCACATACATAGTATGAGGTAATGTGTAGAGTTGTTGACGGACTACTTGAAGCTGATGCAATAAAAAGCCAGTCTAAAAAATTCACGGATCACAATCAACTAGCAGGTAGCCAGTAAAAAATGCGAGTATTTTCTGATCTTTGTACTGTCACTTTTTATGTAAACTGTCACAAGTGTATATCACACGTTTGTTATTTTCATCCTTCCAATTTTTAGTTAATCTGCGGTGCACTTGAAGAGAAAGAACAAAAATATGTTTGCGCCATTTTTCATAGTACTATGTGATATAGGTTTATTTAGTCAGACTAGTCCTAATACAAAATGGTGTGAAGACTGAGAACTACGGAAATCCTCGTTCTTGACATGGTTTGAGCCAATAGCCACATTAGTCTTGACTCCGTTTATCAGCGAGTGCATTCGTTCGAACCATTTTAGAACAAATTAGTTGAGAACAGCCTACTGAAGTCCAGTAGGTCAGGTTGAAGTTAAGAACTACTAAGACTGTCTTTTTAAAAATTCTCAAATATTTAGGAAAATAATATAGTGTAAAAATGTCATTGCTCACCAGCTCACTTGTTTGGTGTTCATAATTACACTTGGATGAACACTATTTTTATAAATTCCAATTTCGTCTATTGGCATGAATATATATGTAGCACCTTTTGTTTCTTAAGTCAATTAGCAGTATGTCTCATATTTGATTTTCTTGCATATCTACCTTTTCAGACGGTCATTCCAATCATGTACATGCAAATATTTTGGTATTTTTGGATGATATCTGTGATTTGACCTTCACTTCACTTTTTTATTTTCCATTACTCCAACATTATGTTTTTTCCACAGTCAACTATTCTTATGCTTAAGGTTTGAACAATCACCGTCATTCTCATTTTAGTCTGTGTTCTTCATATGATGTAGGAGATAGCTTTATTCGAACACAGTAAGCACAAATGCTGGAGCATAGTAATATTACATCTGTTCATTTTATGGGTTCGCATGATGTGGTTACATCAAAAAGCTGTCATGCCAATTTTAAAAGCCCAGGAAAAGATCAGTCTGTACAATTTGTTCCAGTTCTCATGAAGAATGACAACGTGTACATGAAAGTATCGAATTACTGAATTTTTTCGATGTGATATGGCTGAAAGCCGATATCAGTGGCGCAGATGTATACACAGATTATCCTCATTTTAACGACGCTATACCGAATTTCACCATTTTCTCATTCTTCCTTTCTCTCTTTTCGTGCTTCATATTTCTTTTGAGTGAATTCCCTTATTTTCATCTTCCACTTCACTGCCTTTTTACTTGGTGTACTGATATAGGATAAGCTGTAGCAACTCGAACCGTTACTCAGTAATGCCTGGTTCTATTTTGATAGTGGTGGGTGGTGATGGACAACAAACTTCTATCCATTAACCGGTCACATGGACAGAACGTGGGTGAAAATCCGAACCTCACAGAAGTAGAATTTATATCCGAAACCGGATGAGTAATGACAAAATTCCCACTTGAAGAGAGTGTAATATGAGATTGAATTATGCATGCACATTTGGCAGTGTAATTACTGATGCCCTATTTGATAGTGAGGCTGATATACACATTTTCATATTGTACACATTTCAAAATTCTATTGGCATATGAGGTGGAAACTATTTGAATATTCCAGAAACAACACTGTCAGACTGTGTCGAGTTTAACTCATGATGTCTACAGAAAATTGTCGTCTTTTTGAAATAATTTTGTAGGTGAGCTTGTAAAATATTGACTGGATCTTGTTAAAAAACCTTTGTTTTTAGTCAGTATGATTCACTGTCACAAGTACATATTGAGTAAAGCAAGAATAAACATGCCTGTGACGTGTCGACGAACTCAATATATTTCTCTGCTTTCTCTTCACTAGTAAAATATCCTATATAACTTTGAAAACTGAATTTCGCATAAGTGCAAATTCTGTCACTTTTAAAAAAAATGACGACTCCAGAATATTCTTTACTACGTAGTTGGTAATATACCAATTATAATAATAATCAGGAGTGTGAGAGTAATGGGAAACAAGGAGGAATATTTCACCCTACTCACTGAGTTATAGTCGTAGTTAGTATGAAAAACAAAAGGCTGAATTAAGACATGCATAAACATTTGTCAAAGCAGTTGTACATTTACCACTGATCCCTTCCCAATTGTAAAGATATATGTTAAGCTTCTGTCGGCAGTGACCTTTATGTAACAAGACATTGCAGATATGAATATTTTCTCAGTTATTGGAATTCGTTTCTAGTTCATTTCAAGTCTTGTGGAATATGTTCAGGAATTGCATAAAAGCCCGTTCATCAGTCCTTAGAGGGTGCCTGTCTTAATATACACAAATAATTGAGTAGACAGCCCTGGATGTGATATGTGATGAGTATTTATCTACTTCGCCATGCATGACGCAAAGTTTGGCGCAGTAAAGTGGAGGGGTGATGGTACGTGAATGCTTGTTTATTGAATGCAAGCGGACAGGTGGAGCGGGAATCATTCCACGGCTGCTCTAGATGTGTGAAAAATTCTGCTTGACTACATGACGAAGAAGGAGAGATAATCAGAAGTATGCAAATGATAACTCGAGGCCTTGGAGTAATCTTGATATGAAAATGGAAATTAATTTCTGTCGAAAAGTAATCCAGTAAATTATATGATTTTACTGTGTGACGCGTTCAATAAATCAACTGAAAGTGGTGCTATGAGTACACTTACATCGAATCGAAAACTAGAAGACTATTATTGAATGGGAACATACCCAAAGTAATCAACCTCTTTGGAGATGTTGGTTTGTTGGTGGTTTATTCTGATGAAGTTGCTGTTATCGTGCTTGTTGACTGGCATGATTATGTTGCTATGTCTTCTCCCATACTGCCTGTCATAAACACATTTTCAAAAGAAGCTGTTCAGAGAGGTGCAACTGAACCAGCTGAGCAAAAGTTGGTCAGTATCCGTATTCTTGATTGGGATAGTTTATAAAGACCTTTAAATTACTGAAATTACGGGGTGGATGGAAGTGAGTCGATCATTGATAGTGATCTCCTCAAATAATTGAAAGCTACTGACTCTGTGATCAACCAGGTTTATAGCCTCTCGAAGACGCACACATTTGATTTTCCTCTTCGTCCACTTTTCAATGTGAATATTTTGCCATGCCATGTAATTGGAAAGTAGCTAAGTGAAAGTTTTCAAACTCTGAGAAATCGGATTCACTGGTATATATCACCTGACTTATTCAAGTTCGTCGAATAACACCAATGTCTTGTGAAGGCGAATGCTGTCTTCAAGTGTCACTTAACTCTTTTCATCTGTTCATTTAGACGGAACGATACTGAGCTGAGTGAATTTCATGAGTACATGGGTCTGTTAATCAACAGATCCACCAGCCAATCCGTTCTCATTTTTTGTTCACTTCAAGGTCGACGATGGTTCTTCAAAACATCTCTGTGATAGTCATATCACTTTTACTGAAAACCACGAATACACGGTTGATACTGTGAATAGCATCAAATCGCTGTCCATGTTTTCTTTACTGAACACAAAGATGGTGTGCAATGAGTGTGGATTAATGGCGTGGGAATGTAAAAGTGTATCCTTAAATCCATGATTTGGGCTACTAATAACTTCCTTGTGAGGAGGGAAAAGCAATGACACCAGAACACTCTGTGATTCCCATTCAGCTAACAGTTGCCCATTTCGCATTCAGTGACGTAAAAATTAACTAGCTTATAGGGGCGATAAGCTGGAAGGAGCAATGCAGTCATCAGTATGCAGTTCTTTTCTGTATGCCTGATAAGTACTTACCATAAGAATGTTCATTGTGAAGGTAGGAACTGCTCATTGATAAGCTTTGTCATTTATATAGGAGTATGAGTAATGGGTTGTTGTATGGATCACAGAAATTTCCCATCGAAAGTCGATCAGTGGTTTGCACTGAGTTGCCTGTCCACTGACATCTCACGGTTAGCGTGATATGACCAGTCATTGATATATTGAATCGACGTCACTTTTATAAAATGATTTTCATCATCATGCACTGGTGTAGGAGGTCGTTGTTGAAGCACAGACACACACTCACACACATAAACGACTAGAAGTGAAACTGTAGTCACTGAAACACGTTTCTGATGACGCACACTTAGTTAAGGGCATGGTTGAAGGAACTGATCACAGAGGTTTGAAGAAGTCTGAGTACATCACTTGTGAGGAGTAGGAATCAATGAGAAGTCCCGTGTTGCATAAATATGTACATGGAGGAAAATGTTTTCATTCATGTGAGTATAGATGCAAGGCATTGCTACGGTCTGATTCAGCAATGAGTCTTATCATATTTGAGAGTTGATGAGTATTCATTCTCTTGATTAGATTTCGAGTGCATTTTATATCTCATAGTCACATATTTATTCTTATTCTTATTTATTTCTAAGGCTTATGGTTTTTCTTTTTTCAGCCTCATCGACTGCAGAATTCGTTTCTCCATGATAGACATAAGTTCATTCCTCTTTCATGTGCCAAATGTGGATTTCACGAAGCAAGCATACATTGTCACCCTCCGTACACTATATCCGCTCAGTCATCGGGATTGCATGTAGTAATGGTAAATGTGGTGACCTAACTTCTGCATCCATTACATAGAGAGAGTTGACTGTAAACACTGGCTTTTAAAGTGCTTGTTTGGTCTCCCATTTATTTGGAGTGTATAAAAGTTAACACAAATGTTACATTGTTTAGTTCGGAAATACACAGAATCCCCCCAAGCATTGAGTGGATTTGCGTGGACGAACCATGCAATTGCTTAGATTCTGACTAACAGGATTTGTTATTTACATATATATAACCTCGCCTGGTTAACTAGTCCACTAGTTACTAGCCGGTCCTAAGCCCGGGTAA